CAAAAATTTATAGAGACCCTCAAAACCTATATTGTTACAACTCTAAAATTCATGCCTATTTCCAGTTCCTTTGCACAACTTCACAAGTTCTACCCAAAGAATCTAATACCTAGGCTCTGATACCACCTTGTCACGACCCGATTCGAGAATAAGGAATATTTCCGAATCAGGATATGAGTCATACCATAGTCATAAGAATAAAATTCTACAACCATGATATGATGAGAAATAGAGTCATAAATCATACAAATTTACTTAACAATACAAAATCAAAGTCGTAGTAGCTCGTAGTTAAATACACACTAAGATCTTTATCAAACTGTGACTACTTACAAATATTAATTACACAAATCAACAACAAATGCCTAGTAGCTTGGTTGAAATCCGCTTCCTCAAACTTTGCCTTGAATCTTGCACAATCTATTAGGGTACGAACATTCTAATGCCCAGTAAACTACCGTCAAACCCCTTAAGGTCAACTATCACAGTTAATCAAAGTGTCATGTATCAAACAACACAAGATGCATAAATTTTGCAACCAAACCAGATAAATAAATTTGCTTATGCGGTGTTGCCATGAACTCACTCCCTTCTAATTCCACTAATTCATACCTTAGGGCAACAAGCCTGCATGTCCCATACAATGCATTTCATCATTGTGGCTATGAATATCCTAAAATATGAACTAGTGCCCATCTGTCCTTTAACCCATTTTTCTTTTGTTTACGAATTTCTCAACTTTCACTTTCCATTAGAGACCCTGCTCCCATCACCTCAATATATTCAAAGCCTACTCCCGTCACCTAAATATATTCCACATTTTTACTCAGATATATCTAAGGCCATCTCCAACCCCTTTGATATACCTCAAACGACACACACACACCCTAAACACCATTGTATTTATGACATATATGTAATCCAGCGCAACATCATTTATCTCTGTGGAATAATAATACTGATAATAACAATAATATTCCAGGCTTAATCACATGAATAATAATATTCACCCAATGTCAAATAATATCCATAGAGAAACATCAATAATAATATTCACATAACATCAAATAATATTCACTAAGCAACGCAACAATAATATTCATGTTTATAGTACTATATATAAGCACCAAGATTAAAAGTGACATAGCCCAATCATCAGGAAATCAAGAAACCCGACCTCATATCTAGCTAGCTAAAGTACCAAATTTACCTTCAAAAGTTCTCAAAGTTGTCGAATCTACACTTTTGATCTAATTCCTAAACAAATTCAAATCCAAATTATTATTAAGCAATCTTCACTCTATTTCACCTAAGACCAGTAAACCTCAACTTAACGCCTCAACTATATGCATTTCAAAGATTCTGTGTGAAAATGACCAAAATACCCCTAGAACCAACCCAGGGCCCAAAGCAGCCAAATCTCGTCCAAAATAATATTAAACTGTGTCCTATGCCCTGTTAACACCAAAACAAGGCCAATGACACCCGTTATCCAAAATTTACCATTTGGGTCCCGTAGGCCCCACAACAACCGATAATTTAAACAAAATCTGCATTGACACACAACTTCAAATTGACTCAAAATATATACCATCGGACTCGGATTAAGAAATCAAGTCGAATGGACTAAAAATATAGTGTCAAAGGCTGTCGAAACAGCCACCACACGTCTTCACCCGAAGATGCGAGTAGGCTTGGCTGCAGTTACTGTTCATCATCTTCTTAAAAAAAAATTGCAAATTCCCCCTGTTTTTATGTACTAGACTTTGTGACCAACCAAAAGTGAAACTTGCAGTGGTTTTAAAGAGCTAAAACAAAGGAGAACAACAGCTCCAAAGTTGGGCTCGTGGCTGGTTTTCTGCATAAAACATATTTTTGTCCAAACTTTGCACATGTGTTTGACGTATCAAAATTCAAAAAAATTCAACGAACCAATTGTGTTTTGTTCCTTGCCAAGTCTAGTTTAAAACCGAACAAATGGCTTCCTCAAACACTCAAAGGATTGGTGTTCTTAATTCTTTTTAAAACCGAACAAATGGCTTCCTCAAACACTCAAAGGATTGGGATTAAAAGTGAGCCAAAGTGAAGCTCGTGGACTGCAAATTTCTAGATTTGGTTCTACTCCCAAGTTGTTCATAAGGCTTCTAAACTCTTATAAAGTTCATACTTACCATTAGAACACATCAAAAACTCAAAATGGAACCAAAATCATAAACACCCATTCTTGAAAAATTGCTTTATCTACCCAACCCGAAAATGGAAGTTCAAACTCTTCCAATTCAATTTCCCTATCATTTAGGTGACTCAAAGTACTCTTTAAGGGACTAGAATCACATAAACACAAAGTTAAAAAATCACAAATTCGAAATTTGACTCACCTTAGAGATTTTTTTTCCTTTCTTCCTCCTATTCTACCTTCTCTTCCTCACCCAACTTTCATCTCTTTCATCCTACAATATTATCTTACCTTAAGCAATCATTATACTTAGCCTAGACTGGTGATTCATCTCTAATAGGTGAACAACTCACCCCTAATTGAGATCAAAATCAGATTTTGAAAGAGAAGGTAATAGGGAAGGGGGAGATGAATGAAGGGCGAGGGGGTTTTCCTACACGTTGCAAAACTAAATATTTCTTCTCTCTCTCTCTCTCTCTCTCTCTCTCTCTCTCTTAGCTCTAAAAGAAATCAGATTCCTTTCTCTCTCTTTTTTTCCTACAAGGGTATTTTGGTAATTTTCACATATAGGGTATTTTGGTCATTGTGACCCAAAATTCAAAAATGATTTCATATGTGTTCGTGAAGTCGGCTACTATCGTACTAACTAAGAGTCACAATGGTCTCACCTCAATGTCTTAAATGTCATTCGAAAAATTCACAAAATGTTATGTAAGAGCATTTTTGTCCAACTTGAAATTAAACTAACTTAATCCAATAGTCTCAGTCCAAAATCACTTGATAATACCCATAATTATTCTTCACCATAATATTATTATTATTATTTTTTATAACTGAAATATGAAAGTCCACTTTTAATTATTTTCGGGGTATTTCATGTTACTTCTATTGACATCTACGTGGTTTCATTAGCAGGATAATCATGTATTCAAAGATAAAGAAGTCTTGGTTATTGATCCTTGGTTCACTACAATCCAATTTACAAAGAACAGACATGAGGCATTTAGGGGAATTAATTGACAAAGAGCCAAAAGTGATCACCATAGATGGCTACTGATCTTTGTTACTTTTGGCATTGAAGAAGATCAGTCCAAAACAAGAGAATTATTACTTCCTTATCACTTATCCATTAGTGATCAGTGGAGTAATACTTTCCAGTTGTTATTCTTCAAATATCAAAGAGGCATCATCATACATTCTCCTATAAATATAAGAGTACTTGAACTGGAAAACACAACAAAACAATCAAACAAACAACCAAACACCCAAATCAATCTCTACATCAAACACAATCAGTCAAATTGATAAACACCAAAGATCATAAGATATTCAAAGCCTTCAAGTCCAAAAGCAAGCAAGCAATCTTTTCTTTGAAGCAGTCTAGCTCATAAAAAGCACCAGCAATCAAGCTTACAAAAGCAGTCCATCTCAGAAGAAGCACAAGAAATCAAGCTCACAGAATCAGTCCAGCTTAGAAGAAGCTGAGACAATTAAGAAGAAAATGAGGTTTCTTTTGTTGCAAATGCGATTCAGAACAAACGAATCAAGTAGAACTCAAAGAGATTAATTTCTCTTACAAATTTGGTTTAGCAAGTTGAAGCAGGAAGAACTCAAGTTTTTTAGTATATGAAAACCTCAACAAATTACTCAAAGACATCATGTTGTCTTAATCTCATGGAGACAGTTTCCACATCAAACAGAACATGTGCAAACACGCACTTCCGCTCACTTTCCAAGCCTCTCCATGGCTTAATATAGTCATTGGTGTCGATTTCCAACTAATCTTCATTAGTTGAAGGTACTGACGTGCAATTCCAGTGCAAGTAGATTCACTCCAGCCATAAGAAGTCTAGTCGAACCTGATCAGAAATAAATTCGGCAAGGTGATTCCTACAGGAAATGAAAGTCCAAATCTCTGAGACCTCTTAAGAATTGGCAATCTTTATTATGCTTTACAGTTTAGGCAGTTCTGCTTGAACTTATTTGTTTCATTTTCAAAATACGTGTATTTTGCTTTACTTCCCTGTTTTTATTGAGATAAATTATAAAGTGCTCCCTCGTCTGAGGCAGAAAAAGAACTTACTTAGAAGATGTTTCTCGCCCAAATTCACAATCATTTGTTAAAAGTCAATAGCTTGGGGCGCAAGTTATTACATCTTTCAAGTTTGTTAAGGTTTTTAACCAGTAACTGTGGTACGCTCAAATATAAAAGCAAGAAAAGAACTTACTTAGAAGATGTTTCTCGCCCAAATTCACAATCATTTGTTAAAAGTCAATAACTTGGGGCGCAAGTTATTACATCTTTCAAGTTTGTTAAGGTTTTTAACCAGTAACTGTGGTACGCTCAAATATAAAAGCAAGTTGACTTATTGATCATGAATGGTCTTTAGGTCAATGAGAAACTTTACCTAACTAGTACAAGTACAACAGCAAAACAAACAAACAATATGAAGGGCGAGTTTTGTTAATACTTTGCTTAATCATTGGTGTTTTATGTTCTTTTTATTTTCTTGTTTCAATTTATGCCCCTTATTTCTTCGTCTTCTCTTTGTTGAGTGCTATTTATTTTCTTTGTTATTAAGTTTTTTGTGGCTTTATCTTCTTAAAAAAATAGAAATTAAAAAAGATCATTTTCTGTCCAACATTAGATATTTTATTTTTGTCATACTTTATATTACTTTGTAGCTTGCAGTTGTTTTGTTGTTTCATTGACACATTAAATTTGTCAATGAGTTTGTGTTGTTAGACACAATCTGACATTAAGTTCGAGTTTTAAGTCTATGCCATACCCATACCATAGGCCTAGAGTCGATGGCAATGGCAATCACAAAATCATGTTTCCATCTTCTGTATTGTGATATACAATTTTGTTGTTGAAGATGTATCATCACATTCATCCTAATAATTAATCAGATACATTGAGTGCAAGAAAAACTTTTAGTAAATTTTACACTTCAGAAATTACACCAAGTTTACTGCCTAAGAGATATTGCCGACACGGTTAGCAGAAGGTTCCAGCTGAACCTCTGATTCAACCTGAATCTGGGAAGGTTCTGGCGCAGAGCTTTCTAGCTGGGAAGATTCAACCACACTTGGCACTGAGGCTTGGATTATCTCTTGTCGCTTGAACTTGTTGATATAGTAACTAAGTGATGGCCCAGAGTATTCTACCTTCTGCACCGCAGGTGGGTTCTTACCTACTTGGAGGAGTATTGATGAAGCTGCAGCAACGGAGATGAGTGCAAGCCCAGCAGCGATTGCTGCTGTGTTCTCCGCTCCATTGGATGAAGACCCTGCACTTCCTGAACTTATTACACTTTCTGCTACATAAACTGCAGGCTGGAGAATGTAGAGAAGTAACTAGAGTTAACGCACCATAATGGAACATAGACTTAAGCCTACATTAAAGAAGAGAGGAGAGAAACAAAAGATCCAAGCCTTGTAACAGATGGCTACAATATGCATTAATAGTTCTTACTGGCCATGTGCCCAAACTGAACTAACACGCTTGACATTTCTATGGCTCACTTTATTTTCCATATGGAATTTAAGGGATTGATCATACCCTATTGCAATTGCACAGGGCTTTCAAACTCAAGTTCAAAAGCAATCCTAGATACTAGTTATAAACAAACATGCAACAAACAGCCCCCTTAAGTTTCTAAGGAAGAGCAGTGCATCCGTTTGGAGAGAGAGAGAGAGAGAGAGAGAGAGAGAGAGAGAGAGAGAGGTAGAGAGAGGGATCTCTCTCTCTCTCTCTCTCTCTCACACACACACACACACACACACAAAGGCACAAAGAAGGCTTAAAACGGTGTGAGTTACATTGTGTCTTGGCGTACGAAGTATGCCAATTAAGTGCTCTGCTCAACATTTTCAGCTTAATTCTAACTAAAACCACCATGTCCTGAGGCAAGACTTATTTACTAGTTCAAAAAACATGGCAAAGAGAATGATGTTTACTATTTTCGTGATAAAAGCTTTCTACTTCTGCCATTGAAAAGAAGCAGCATAATAAGCTACTAATACATCAGTTTTGACTTTTGAGTACCGGTGAATTCATGTTAACTCAATGCGTATCTCCTCATGTAGAAATAAAATTTACTTTCAAAATTTTCCAACATACAGAATCCAGAAGTTTGGTCATCTGAACTGAAAGTATTTCTATTATTAAAATATCTTGTGAAAAAAGATGGCAACTTTGGTTTTACATTTTTCTGTTGACATTGATAACTTTGCTCAGGCAATCCTTGTTACTGACTAGTAAATCTAACAGTTTATCTCTTAAACTCAAACTCTGAATAGAATATTTTACAGTTTTCTTCATAATTATCATTCTGTCCGTCCAACTACAACACATGTTACTTTGACATTTGAAAATTAAGAAATAATGCACTCATTCATCAAAGGAAAGAAAAAAAGAAGAAGGGAAAAACAACATTGAATGCAAAAACTCTTGCACATTTTGAAGACAGTATAGTACTAACCTCAACAGAATATATGTTCGTCTGGCCAGCGGTGTCCTTCTCAACATATCCAGTCCAACCACGTTTGCGAGGTGGAAATGTCCCAGAAACTTTTGTCTTCTCACCAGCCAACCATTCCACGCTGACCTTTCCAACCTATTCATGCCACAAGAAAAACATCAGTGTATATTTATTTAGGTATTATTTTCTGTCAAGTTTAATGCAACTTATACTGTACATAGTGTTACTGATAAACTTGGCAATTACCTTAAAAACCAACTATACTTAATTGAGGGTAGAAGAAACAGACTTGCACAACAGCCAAAAGAATGAAAAAAAAAAAACAATTGAATTGAGACTCAATCAAATTTCTATCCCATTCTGGCTTATGATCTTCCGAAGTAAGAAATTGGTTTTTTCTGGAAATCTATTTATGGGTATAAAATATTCCAGGTTTTGTTTTTGGCATGAGAAAGATCACAGTGGTGTACTTAAGAAGGATGCGGACATCAAAGCTTGGAACATTGGGGCTCAACTGTTTTGAAATAAGATGTTGCACATCCTACTCCCACAACCATTTTATATTTGCTTGTTTAGTGTCTTCAGACCTCAAACATAGTTAGAAGTAAAATAATTACTAAAAAATTACCAAGTTGAAATACACAATCCTAAATTAGTACCTCTGTTTACTCCGAAATTAAACCCTGTAATCTGGTATTCCCAACTAGCCCCATTAGTCCCAAAACCTATAACATTTCTGGGTTAAATGGAAAGCTTTTGCTACCCATTAGCCCCATTATTATTTTTTGTCAAGTTTAAGTCACCAAAAATAAAAATAACCATCATCAAGATGAAAACCCATTAACAATATTATACCTACACCTAAAATAGAGAGAGAGAGAGAGAGAGAGAGAGAGAGAGAGAGAGAGAGAGAGAGAGGTCACCTCTTTGTCAGGAGCACATTCTTCAACATTGCAGTCAGTTTCTTCAGTGGAAGCTCTAACTGTGAGTTGATTAACTTTCTGAACTCTTCTGGAAAAGAAGCAGCTCTTTTGTGTAGGGAATGCGCATGTAAATGTGTTTGCTGCAATCACAGCTTGTGCTGCAGTTGCCTTTTTTTTTTTTTTTGTTGCAAAGAAGAGCAAATACTTGATAGACTCAACGGAAACCAGAGATTTGATGATAAAAAATAACGATTCAGAGAAATTAGTCAGATGCAAAGTAAATTTTGTTGGAGAGTTTATGGTGGAGAGGAGAGACAGAAGGGATGCTCGGAGAGGGATGATATTTTCCTCCTTTGGATTGGGTGTCGTGCTTTGCGTTGGAGGTTTGGTGGATTTTGAGATGGCTACGTGTCAACTCATCTAACTTATATGTCTTGGTAGTGCTGGGCCCATCAACGCTTGTATAGAAGCCTAACCTGTCTTTCTTTAGTTTTTTATATTCTTTTTTTATTCAAACAATATTAAAAAGAAGGAGAAATCAAACCTTAAACCTTGGATACAAGAGGAAAATACTCTTAATTAGTTGAGTTACAAGCCGCATTTTTTTTTTTTTTTTGAGGAAAAAGGATTTCATTCATAATTCAAAAGTTTCATACATAGGACAACATGAGAATAGTGCCATGTTCAAAACTTCCTAAGAAAACCATGCGGTAGAAACCCTATAATAAGAAAAAGTACCACACATGCTATGAGCTAATAAAATAGTCTAATCTAGAACAACCAAACCATTACAAAAAGTCAACCAACTCCTCCCATAAGATGTCAAAGAAAACCTCTTATGATGGCAACAATAGTTCTCCACATGGTGTAGGGATTAATCAGCTTGCAAAGAATCAAAAACATGAGAATAAGAAGAAAAAAAACGAAAAAATACAATAAAAGCGAAGAAATTTTTTAACAACCGCTTTCCAAAACACAATGAGTAAAACACTACACCCAAGCCTCGCCCACTTAACCTAAAGAGAAGAAACTTTAGGTAATGAAACATTCATCAAATGCCAAAGCCCACAAATGTTCTAACAGAACCCTACTGGTGAATTCCGAGAGACCACTCAAGGAGGATCTCCTTTACCTCATCGGAAGGAACACCACTGTAGATTCGTTTGTCACCAGCTGAAGCCAAAACAAATCACGATTATCCCACTACTATACTTATATTATGTGTACAATACATTATATTGTAATAGTATACATGTTTTCCTTATTGATATAACACGCTAGATATATGTTGATGTTCTGGCCAATACATTATAGTAAGAGCCATGATTTTTTATTTTTTATTTTTTAAGAGAATGAAGATAATATTTTATTAATATGTGGACAAGCAATTAGTACAAAAATCAAGTTATGGCGTCGGGGATTAGGCAAGTTTCTCTACACATATGAGGCTCAGTCATCGATCTAACTGGGCAGCCTTACCCACTCAACCGCAAGAGGGAACAGGAACCCTGCCACTGATAGAGTACCCCTGCGGCGGTCCCCCCTAAAAACATACCCGTAAAAACTACTTTTTACAATCCTCAAATAGGACATTAGAAATAAAATCGGGAGGTTCCTCAAATCAATAAGAGCTATGATTTATTTGTAAGAAATGAAACTTTAAAATTCCATAATTTCTAAATATATAAAAAAAAGAAAAAGAAATGTAACTTTGAAATCTTCTTCTTTTGAAAATTACAGCATTAAATTATTATCGCTCTCTGTGTAGTTGATGAGTTATGTCATCGTGCTTGGTCACATAAAAAAAAGTATACAACTTTGAATATGGTGATGAGGTATCGCACTCCTTTAATTAATTAATTTATTTATTTATATTTTTTATTTTTTATAAATGATAATCTTAACTATAGGGAGGGGGGTTGAGTTCGGGCACTAGGGGATTGGCACACCACTTTGGCCAATTGGCATACAAGGAGATTGGCACGCTACATTGGCCAAGTGGTCTAACTCACATATGTTGTGATATATATACATAAATATATATTATTAATACTAGCCTCTCCACACGCGCTTCTGCTCTTGCGAGAGGTTTTTTTTTTTTTTTTTTTAAATTTATTTTATTTTAGAATTAAAAAAGATAATGGGTAGTTGTGTTCCATAAAAATAGGATCCATGATTTGATTTTTATTTTATGTTAAATTTTTTAATATGAAAAAGTGTGAATTTACCATATTATCTTCATTTAATTAATAATTTCAATTCTTAATATTTGCATTAATCAAGGGCATTTTCTGGTATTTTGAATGTTTCACTATTCTCTGCCTTTTGCTTTATATATACTAGCCCCTTGGCACATGCTCACGCATGTGCCCATTGGCTGTATTTTTTAATTTTATTTTTAGAATTAAGAAAAGATAACATGGGTAGTTATGTTCCATAAAAGTAGGACCTATTATCTGATTTTATTTTTTTTTTTATTTTTTTTAATATGAAAAAATATAAATTTATTATATTATCCTCATTTAATTAATAATTTCAATTCCTAATGTTTGAATTAACCAATGACATTTTCTAGTATTTTGAATGTTTCACCATTCTCTTCCTTTTGCTTTATATATATATATACAAATCACATTTGATGTTGACAAAATCCTTGAGTTTTTTTCTTCGATATTTCTCTTGTTAGCTACTGTTAATATTAGATAAAATAATATTTCTCTAACATTTCTTCTCATCCAACATTATTTCTCATTTCATTCATTGCACAAAGAGTTATACTTCTACTCTTAAATATTTGAAGTACAAGCCCCTTGCATGTAATGATTTATTTCTTCATTGTACATTTACAATGTAAGTAGATTTTATGTAATTGAAGAGATTTGAAAGTTAGATATCAAGGGGAAGTGAAAGTTAATTAATTCTTAATGGTATATTCGTGGATATTCAATTTAGATGCCCCATAAATTAATCAAGAAGCTAGTAAGATCTATGTAATAATTTTATAATTAGGGATAATTGTCCACTATTACATTTTCAAAAATAAAAGGGAAATTTTGTTGCGTCCCCCCAATCTATTAGTGAAGGAAAACAAGAAAGTCCTGTATTCAACTAGAGGCTACCAAATATACTTACGAGTACCTAAATCATATATGCTTAGGGCATCTCCAACAGTAGGTTAAACTCATAAATTTAGCTCTTTTATACCCAAAAGCCATCTCTAGTAAATGGGCTAAACCTGTCATGTTACTGAGCCAAACCACTCCTACTAAACGAGGCCTAAATATTGTGGCGCATCCAAAACATTGGCAGACTGAACAATATTAAAATCATAAAAATCGATGAAAGACTCCAAAGCTAGGACTTGATGTTCCATTCGTGAAAAATAAGTTTTTTTCTTCAGCTTATATAACACAAACAGAAAATGCATAACAAACCATTGCATTCCATCAGGAAGACCACACTCCACTGTGTTAAACCTTAACGCACTTGTTAATAAGGGGCCACCCAAACAACTACAGAGGCATCCACACCGCGGTTAATGCCTACACATGCGAGGACCTCTATGATAGATCAATCTGTCAGCGCCTTTTTTGAACTTACCATTTTTGCCATATATTTGCCATTCTCTGCAGTCGCCACACCAGTTTTACGTTACACCACTTCATCCCAATTATGCAATGCACACTCGGATGATATTTTCCCCTTCCACTGATGTCACCCTTAATTGGTGAAAATCTCCGAAACTAAGTTTTCGTCTTTGTCAAGCTGAAATATTTCTGAAGCTTCTTGAACATACTTGGCCACTTAGATAATGTTTTCTTAGTGCCCTTTTGTTCGCCTGCAAACCAAAATTCACTTTCGCATAAATGTAAAGAGTTCTTTAAATTTTTTTAAGAAAAAAAAAGGGCTGACGAATGGACATAAATCCTACAAGATAACGTTACAAGCAGACGGGATGTGCCTGAATGATACAAGAAATGAAATTCATACAACAATCCAAAGGATGCTGCTGATGTGATTGCAATGCAGGTTTATTTACATTTTCTTGAGATCTGATCAAACAGTGATCCTTTTTCTACTATAGCTTACCACCAAAAATCCAGAACCATATTCACATCAACCAGAACAAGAATTTCAAAGAAGACGTGGGTCTCCACAGCCTCATACGTGCTGTTAAGCAGCAGCTCCATGCATGTCTTATTTAACTGCAGCCTTTTTTTTAAAATTTTGTACATAAGCATTACATAATGTTGGAAAATTCTCAAATATAAAGATTAAAGATAATTTATAGAGCAAGTTCATGAACTGGAGATGTTGCATGAACCAAAATAAGGGAAGCAGAAGCAAGACAATACAACAATGAAATTGCAGCATAAGAAATAGAAAATAAAGCAACTAAGGGCACTGAAGATGAAGCTCGTTCGGAATCCCCCACAAAAATATCCACTTTGCATTGATCAACTATGTCTTTACCACCTATTGCATAATAAAGACAGGCCCTGAGTTTTAGTCCCGTTCTAAATTACTGCCTCCCTAAAATAAATATAAAACGTGATGTTACCATCCCAGTAAATTACCCAATTACTCTCATGGCAATCCCTTGGCACAATTACCAATCAATCCCAACCACCCTGGACATTAAATAGCAACCAAGAACATCTCCTGTATTAGGCAGATAACTCTGCTCCCTTTCAAGATCAAGAACTATAGCTATAACTAGCTTGGGATGAATATAAAATTAATCACTTTTAGAAGTGATATCCTAGCTTGAATCCATATCAAATTACCTTTCTTGCTCACCCAACCTAAGCCAACTGACTCAATCTGAGCTAACTAGAACTACTTCTACCCGAAATGTGAAGATCACAATGTCAAGCCTAGGCCATCTTCAGTTGGATCAACAATTAAGACCAAGTCATGGCACAAAACTCCCATTGAAAATATACATCACCACTCATCAAATCATTGAAACAGTAGAGTGTTGGATTTGGTATCCTTAGTGCAGGAGGTTTTCTTTTGGGTATCCTTGTTAAAATTGGTTTCTCAATCATAATAGGTTTTATTGTCATAGACAACATCATCATCGGCATGTGAGCAAAATTGGAGTACATTTGCTCTTATTCACACGAAACAAAGGAACCGTCTCGCATATACCAGGTTGGAAAAGATTGTCTTTTGTTATTATAATATGAAACTTAAGCTACATGATGAAGAGGCCGAAATGAACAAGGTTGCAGAAAATGACTACATAGTCCTTCTTGACATTGCAGGGCAACCATCTGATGATGATAATAATCTAATTCAACAATGGATTATGACAGCTCACTTGGATGATGAACAAGGCAACCTTGATGCCGTTATAGCACAACATGCTGCCCAAGAAGGAGTTGATGTTGATAGAGTCATATCCGAAGATGTTAGGAGTGGAGATACTTCATCATTTGAAAGGGATATGCTTAGACCTCAGCAAGGTCAAAGACTCCCCTTGAGAGACGATGCCAGTGCTAGTAGAAAGGAAAGTTCATCCAATTCGTCAAATAATGATGGAGGAAGTAATGTTGGATCAGGAGGTAATGAAGAAGGAATAAAATATAGCCTATTTACTGTTGAGGCTGATTTTACTCATGCCACCCAAGATGAGGATCATGGATGCAGAGAAGCTGGACTAGGCATTGGCGCAATTGGGAAGCAATACTCAAAGAAAAGAAGCCAACCAATCAATCCATCTGAATAGGACATGGTGATCAGTTTTGGATCTATGAGCATAAGAACTAGACCTAGTACCAACTCAAATGAATCTTATGATGGCTATAGTTATGTCATGTCTAATTATAGTGGAACTAGTTATGGAGCTCAATATGATG